TGCGGATTGTGGCTAGGCGTTCGTCCACCGGGGTGAACGCCAGTACTCGGCGACGGAGTCTCTCTCCTACCACGAATCCAACACCGAATTTGCGCTCCTTTACGTGGCAACTGTAGTAGACGTCGCAAGGCTTCACGCTTACTTTACCTTGCCCCGTCCATCCCATTTCTTGGATGGCGGTGATGTCAGCCTTTGTCTTCCCGAGGACATCAACCAGCCGGGCAGAGGCACCTTCCCCATTAAGGATCCGGATATTCCAGGTGCATACCCTTTAATCATAGTCCTTTATATGTTTGCCGTGGTCGTCATCAGAAAAATGGGGTCTCATCCGAGGCTGTTTGCTTCTTTTCATTGGGCGGGGAGGATGGTTCCGTGCGCAGAAGTGGAAAACTTTTGACTGCCATTCACCTGGGAGTGGCCAGAAGCGATTCTAGTGCGTACGGTTCAAATCGCAGCTCACAACGTCCGGATATTTATATCCACGTATCCTCTGGGTAGCAACCAAACACCCGTTTGGGAGCGAGCAAAAGTGAGAAGGCGTAAAACTTCGCGTGCGCTGGGTTTGGGTCCCGCCACGTTAAAACCCCGCCCAATGAAAAGAAGCAAACAGCCTCGGAATAAATGATTTGGTTTGCATAAAATAATAACCGGAAACGTTTTAGTAGTGTTTTAAAAGTGGAAACTGGTGATTTAGTGCATTTTTGACGTGGTAATTGCTCATAGAAAACAACGAAATTTAACAAAAGTTTTTTGTTCATAACTTTTTAATGGTTAATAATATTACTCCCCCCCTCCGGATTGTTATTAGGGGGGCGAAACGCGTCGTTTGGTACCCCTCTTGACTTTTCCGCACCTTTCTTAGGGGTTGTTACCCCACCCTAGAGAATTACCAACATTTTCACAAACTGGAAAAATTTAAGTTCAAACATGTAAACAAAACACTGAATTGTTGTCATTTGACGCAATCGCATAAGCAAAATTGAGAGTTGAGCTACTTTGTGCGGCACCGTCACCGTCGTCTTGTTCATGTAACTTACTCCATACACATACACCGAATCAGCTTTTTTTAAAACTGCCGGTGACGTTGACGGTAACGCAATGGACGTCATGTACTTTCATTTTTAAGCTGAAATTAGTCAAGAACGTAAACCTACCGGTACGTAAACCCGAGTCAGCTGACAAGATCTGTCTTACCAAAGCGCCATGTAAATGAAAACTCAACACCGCAGCATTTTTCTGTAGTTGTAGCCCGTAGCGCAGAAATCTGCGGAATTTAGATTTTTCCGTGTCAGCTGATTTCTCCTTCTTTAGATGGTTGCCACTTCGTCAGTTTTGCAGATGGTAAAAAAGTTATAAGTTCCTATTCGAAATATGTTTCAAATATTTGAAATTTACTATTAAATAAGGTTTTTGTTGAAAACTAAGTAGTTTATATTTAGTTACAATCTATTATAGCACGAAAAATTGTGGTTGAAAGGGTAAGTTTATGAAAAGGCATTGAAGAGTGGCAACAGTGTAGTAAGCAACACTGAGGGCTCCAGTAATCGACAAAATTCTGCGTATACAGACTGCTGTGGATATAGTTCCACTTACGAATACGCTTTATTTATTCAAAATTAAACTCGTACAATATTTTCTATTTATCAAAAACAAGTTATAAAAGTCACATATATAAATGTAAGGATACCCAAGGAACTCGCGATCGTCTCGGATGATTTCCAGCAGCAAAAGAGAAAGAAAGCAAAAAAGGAGCAACGCTAAACGAATAAGCAGAGTTGCATTTTTGTCTTGCTGGATTTGGTGTTGCCACAATACTCCCTCCAGACTTCTAAAGAGCGTAGCGTGATGGAAGTCTGACTGTTCGTCCCAGCCTTGTCTTTAAATTTGTCGAAGTAGGTTGTTTCTCTTCAGAATCAGTCGTCTGATGTTTAGTTCCTGATGCGGGCACTAGTTGCACTGGATGTTGCGCTTCTTCCGGAGAGTGGCTAACAAAGGCAGGTTTAATGCGATCTATAGAAACCGTGACAGATTTGTTGTTGATCTTGAGCACGTAGGTTTTAGGAGCTCGACTTTCAACTTCGTAAGGGCCGTTGTATGGTGGAGTTAATGCAGGCTTTGTCGTTGCGCACAAAAACATGTGTAGCTGTTGCCAACCCTGGTAACATAAACGGCCTACGGTTGTCGTGATGAGATGTACTCGTGGGCTGGAGCTCATGCATATGATTCAACAATTTCTGAACAAACTCAGATTGTGATGTGCTCTTACGTGTCTCACACATGTCACCTGGTAGTCTGATCGATGTGCCATAGACGAGTTCAGCAGGCGTCGCTTTGATGTCTGGCTTGTAAACAGATCGTAGACCCAACAAGATCAATGGAAGCTGATATGACCAGTTTGTAGAATTGCTGCACATGATTGAGGCCTTAAGTGTTCGATGGAACCTCTCAATTATACCGTTTGCCTGAGGGTGGTATGCTGTCGTCCGTAAATGTTGAATGCCAAGTACTCGAGAGAGTTCTTGGAAAAGCGTTGACTCAAACTGTCGACCTTGATCAGTAGAGATCCGCAGCGGTACACCGAAATTCTTAATCCAACCATTTAACAGTGCCAGGGCCACCGTATCAGCGCTGACGTCTTCCAGAGGGATTGCTTCTGGCCATCTAGAAAAGCGGTCGATTATGGTTAAGCAATACTTGTAACCATTGGATGGTGGCAAAGGCCCAATAAGGTCGATGTTTATATGGTCAAATCGATGTGATGGCAGGCAGTACTTTTCGAGTGGTGAAACTACGTGCCTACCCACCTTTGCGCGTTGGCATGGTATGCAATGCGACACGAATTTACTCACGTCTGCTTCCATGCATTTCCAAACAAAATGTTGTTTGATGAGTCGTGATGTTGCTCTCTTACCGGGATGTGCCAGGTTATGAAATTTCGCTAAAACTTTCTCTCGTTGTTCCGGTGGCACATATGGGCGTGCTGCGCTTCCAGAGACATCACACATTATAGAAGTTTCCGTCGATGGTAATTTGACTAATTTAAAACGTAAAGAGGTTTTGCCTGTATTTAGCATTTGTTGAAGCTCTTCACAGTTTAGTTGTTGTTTAGCCATCTCTTCGTAGTCAATAACGTCATCAGATGATATATTAAGCGCGTTTATGCGTGATAGCGCATCTGCAGTGATGTTCGTCGCTCCTGAAATGTGTACAATGTTTGTTGAAAATTGTCCGATAAAGTCGAGATGACGTATTTGTCGCGGAGATGCGTTGTCCTTCTTCAGAGTGAATGCAAAAGTGAGCGGCTTATGATCAGTGGCTATAGTAAACTCTCTTCCTTCTAACAGATACCTAAAATGTTTAATGGCACTGTAGATTGCGAGCAGATCCCCCCCCGTATGTGCTGTACTTGCATTGTGCGTTCGAAAACTTCTTGGAGAAAAACGCAAGCGGCTGAGGCGCACCTTCTATGATTTGATGTACCACTGCTCCCATGGCACTGTTACTTGCATCTGTACAGAGAATGATGTTTGCTGAGGGAGCTGGGTGAGCTAATAGTGAAGCGTTGGATAAGTCGTTTTTGCACTGTTGAAAATGATACATAGAGATTTCGTTCCAAACGATGAGTGATTTATCTTTCTTTTTATTACCACCAACAAGTGCGTTGAGGTGTTGCTGATGCTCGATAGCATGTGGTATAAACCTGCGATAAAAGTTTAACATGGCCAAGAACCGCCTTAACTCAAATGCAAATTTCGGCAAAGGGAATTTGATAATTGCCTCAACTTTTGCCGCAGTTGGGCTAATACCTTTAGGTGTGACCAAATGACCCAAAAATTCAATTTGAGTTGCACCGAAAACGCACTTCGCTGAATTAATAGTGAGGCGATGTTGTCGCAATCTTTCGAAAACAAGTCGTAAATGTTTAGTATGCTCTTCTTCTGATGCTGATGCGACACACACATCGTCGATGTAACAAAAAACGAAGTCAAACCCGCGCAGAGCCTCGTGCATATACCTTTGAAAGGTCTGGTCAGCATTTCGAAGACCAAAGGGCATGCGTAGAAATTCGAAGAGCCCGAAGGGTGTAGTGACTGCTGTTTTGGGCACGTCTTCTTCAGCAACCGGGATTTGGTAGTACCCCCGGTATAGGTCGATTTTTGAAAAAATCGATTTACCGTGTAAGTAGCAGGTGAAATCCTGAATATGTGGCAGCGGGTAACGATCGGGTAGTGTCTGCGCATTGAGTGCCCTGTAATCGCCACAGGGTCGCCAAGAATTATCAGCTTTTCGCACGACGTGGAGAGGCGAGGCGTAAGGGCTCTTTGACGGTCGACAAACGCCAAGCTTCATGAGATATTGGAACTCCTCCTTAACTGCTTGGTATTTGTCTGGTGTTAACCTTCGTGGTCTGGAAAATACAGGTTGGCCTTCTGTTTCGATAAAATGAGTCACTTTGTTGTTGCTGACGTCGGCCCCGAAGGTTTTATGGCACTGTGTAATGTCGCTAAATTCACGCAGTAGCTCAGCATATTTACAATTAGTGTCGTAAGTTGTAATTGAATATTGTTGCACATTGACTGCGGATATGGCTCGACTCTTCAATTTAGTCTGCCCATCGATGATAGTCGAATTGTGAACATCTACCAGGATGTTGAATTTGCTTAAAAAATCAGCTCCTATAATGTTGTGCTTGGTTTCGGCCGCGATAAACGTCCATTCGAATGGCCTTCGGAGTCCTAAGTCAATATTTAGGCGTATAGTACCAAATGTCTTGATTTGGGAATTGTTGGCTGCGAATAATTGAGGTGTTGATTGCGCCATGGATGAACGCGTAGTAGTATGTGCATTAACGACCGATATGTCGGCACCAGTATCGATTAAAAATCGCTTGTTTGATTTGCGATCGAAGATGAAAAGTCTGTGAGTTGTACTACTGTGATTAATGCAGCCTTGTTGGTGCGATGATTCGACAGCAGTAGCTGCAGATGCTGCCGACGGCATTAGTTTTTTGTTGATTTATAGTTGCACGGTGAATTACATTTCTGCGCTTGGTCGCTGAATCGCTTGTGGTACCAACAGATAACTTGCTGGGAGTTGGACGAGGTGCGCATGGCGCCTTTGTTACGACTGTGAGAACGAGATCTGCGATTGCTATCCCGCTTAGTGCTCGTCTCTATGCGTGAAAGAGCCCGTTCAATGCGTTCAATTCGGCTTTCGATCGACGAATTGCTACCACAAGGCGTTGTCGTGTTATTCACGGTCTGGTCTTGGGGGTTGCGGGCAGTGACTGCATCCACTGAGTTCGCGCGTACTACGTCAATTATCTCGTCAGCTATTGACGCTAGTTGTTCCAGCGTCATTTCTGGATTACCCTTGTCTATGCCGGTGATGACTGCCCGTGCTGATACAGGTAACTTTTGCAGCCAAAAATCTTTGATGAGTTGCTTGTCGGATGTAACTCCAGTTCGCTGAAGTTGTGTTAACATATGACTTGGCTTTTTGTCGCCCAGTTGAATACCGGAAGTCAACTGCTCCAGGCGGGCAATCGGCGAAACGGAAAATTTGCTCAAAATTGTCGTGCGTAACGCCTCGTACTTACACTTTGCAGGTGGGTTCCGTACGACATCAAATGCTTGCTCGTGAAGACGTTCATCCATATACATGACTGCTATGTTGAATTTTGTGTTGTCGCGTTGATCTTGGTTCATCTTTCCAAAGTTATTGATCCCAAAGAATGCTTCAAGTCGAGTGAACCATGATTCGATGCTCTGCAGGGAGAACCCGCTTAGCTGCGGTACTTGCACTCGTGCTGCGAAACTGTTTACGTCGGTGGTTTCCGTACCGTGACCAAATGGCGTGGCAGGAGCAGGTGCCGGTGGCGCGGCTGGATTATTGACGATAGCATTGTCAACGTCTTCACCGTCCGTTGGCATGGTGAAGTATTGATTGTTGATGTACTCGGCTATGTAATGTAAAACGCGGTGGCTAATGAAGTACAGCAATGGTGAGTAATGGCGGAGTGCTAAATCAAATCTTTGTAATTTCTGTGCACGATGGAACGCGTGTGAATATGTTGCGCCGTGATAGTGCACAATCAGGTGTTGGGACTAGAGATGTGAAGTAGTTGTGAGTAGATGAAGGCAATTTCAGTCTTCACAAATAGTTCAAAGAAGAAACTAGCGTGGTGCTCTCGTCTTTGGCCCAACTGTAGTGGGAACCTTCAATGTGCGATTGACAGGACATAAACTAATGTGCCGGATGCGGTTGGAACAGACGGCCGACCAAGCTGTGCACAGAATTTAACGTTGGGTAGCGATGAATAGCTGATGCAGATGGATATAATAATGCTGGCGCCAGTAAGATTACGGCGCACCCACTAATTTGAGGTTATGTTCGCGTGAACTTATGTAGCAATGCTGAGTTTTCGGGGTCACCAATATGTGGATATAGTTCCACTTACGAATACGCTTTATTTATTCTAAATTAAACTCGTACAATATTTTCTATTTATCAAAAACAAGTTATAAAAGTCACATATATAAATGTAAGGATACCCAAGGAACTCGGATTTGGTGTTGCCACACTGCATTTAAGTATACGTTCTGCGTTGTCGACTAATCTCAGCTTTAAACTATGGAGTAAAAAGTATCGGAATCGAATGGCAAAAGTATCGATATGGTAACTTATCATATCGATATACGTTTTCCTAGCCACATCAGTTTATAAAATTCAGACAATGTTGGCCGGCTTTTCATTTGCTATTGGTATTTTAATTTTGGTAATAAAATATATCTAAGAAAAATAGACTATACAAAACTTTCTATAATATGAGCGTAAAGCAGAGTTACGCAGTTAAAAATGTTTGAGAAAATTGTCAGCCGATCACTGGTTTTGTTAGTGGCGATTTCAAACCTTTTTTGTGATAATATAGCGACAGATTTAGCTGGTTCACCTCAAAGCTATTCTGTTACTACGCTTATCAATGCAAAGTGGGTACAGACACCCTTATATTTAGAAATAGCCGAGTATTTAGCGGATGAAAATCCCGCATTGTTCTGGGATTATGTTAATGCGGTACAAAAAGAACAAAAGTCGCTTAAGGAATATGGTAGGTTATGGAATTAACTTTGAACAACGCAATGTATTTATGTGTGAATCTTTTTAGCTTCAGAGTCAAATCAATATTTAGCAGCGATTAATCTTGTCCGGAATCGGCTAAGTGTACTTCAAGTACCCCTGCTTAAATTAGTGATATCTTTACATAGTCTAACGCCGCGGATTCAAACACATTTACAAATATCCAACGAAATATACAGTAGATCAAATTGCGATTCAGACACTTTTGTACAGATTGGAGATGAAGTAGTGTGTAACATTGATGAACTAAAGGAAAAACTCTACTCAAATAATTCTTTGGAGAGCATTGTAACGTACAGTTTCGATCATATTTACCCAGGCCTAGAAAATCAATCACGAACTATTATTCTATATGGTGATTTTGCATCTCGTTTATTCTCGTCATATCACAAAATTCTGTCGGAAGAAGCGGTTGCTGGAAATATTCGCTACATTGTCAGACATTTCATCTTAGTTAATCTAAATGACCGGCACGTACGTTTATCTGGTTACGGTGTAGAGCTTCATCTTAAATCAACTGAATATAAAAGTCAAGATGATGCGCCCAAGGCAACAGACGACAATGTAAAAAATAACACAGTAGATGACGTTGCAATTGAAGGTTTTGACTTCAAAATACTAAAGCATCGTTTTCCTAGTTTGTCTCATCCTTTAGATCAACTGCGTTATAACTTGTTAAAAGTTAATGAAGAAATCTCGCAATTAAAGGCTTGGGAATTTCAAGATCTTGGCTTGCAGGCTGCCGCTGCCATATCTGAGGTGCAAGGAGATGAAGCTCTTCAAATTCTACAATTCGTAGCTCATAATTTCCCTATGCAAGCACGCGCCCTTCTTAATCATAAAGTATCCGATGCACTACGTGCCGAAATCAAACATAATATTGATGTTTTTGGACGCAGTCTAAATATTATGCCCCCGGATGGTGCACTATTTGTTAATGGTTTATTCTTTGACGCTGATACTATGGATCTCGGTACTTTAGTAGAAACGGTGCGCAATGAAATCCAGGTTCTCGAGACTTTGCACAGGAATAATATACGGGGTTCTCTAGCGACATCGCTCTTCGCCTTGGATCTTTCTGGCGCTTCAAACAAAGAGTTTGCAATGGATATTAGAGACACGGCAGTAATGTGGGTAAATGATATTGAGACGGACTCGCAATACCGCAGATGGCCATCAAGCGTTATGGATTTGTTAAGGCCTGCTTTCCCAGGAATGCTACGAAATATTCGTAAAAATATTTTCAATTTAGTTCTAGTAGTGGACCCTTTGGATCCATCAAGCCGTAATATTATTAAATTAGCAGAGAGTTTTATTATCCACCAAGCGCCTGTCAGGCTGGGTCTTGTCTTCGACATACGGAGGGCTCAAAAGGACACGGCTAAAGACTATCAATCAATTATTTGTGCTTATAACTATGTTACACAAAATAAGGATGGCAGATCAGCTCTTAGTTTTTTAACTGATGTATTCGCGACTGTCGATACCACGGAACGTGTACGCCATCAACATATCCGAAGTCAACTAAAAAAATTGTTTAGTAATTTTTATGGCAGTAACATTGATGATATTCTAGGAGAAGACTCCGATTATGAGTATGGTCAACAATTGTCCGAGGAGTTCATTGATCGTTTAGGTTTTGTTGATTCCCCTCAAGCATTACTTAATGGTGTACCTATGCAACAAAATTTATTATCCTCTGATAGTGAATTCGAAGAAGCGATATTTTCAGAAATTATTCAACAGACTAGCATTTTTCAGAAAGCGGTATATAAAGGAGATTTAACAGACTCTGATTCAGTCATTGATTACTTAATGAATCAGGATCATGTAATGCCACGCTTAAACCAACGCATTCTTAGTATTGAAGCCTCTAAATTTCTCGATTTTACTGGAAATGAAAGCAAAGATTTAACGAACGTGCGGGGTCTGGGCCAACTCTCAAATCGAGATATGACTGCGACCCTTTTGACTAATTTAAAATACTTTATCGGTAAACATTCAACCGAAAATATTGGTAACGCTAAACTACACTTCTTAACTATTTGGGTCATTGCTGATATTGAACAAACCGAGGGTCGGGAGTTATTAACGAATGCTCTGAGATTCGTTAAATCTGGAAGTAGTGTACGCGTAGGATTTATCCCAAATTCAGAAGGCTCGAATCTTTCAGATAAACACAATTTGAATCGTCTTGTTTGGGCTGCTGCACAAACTCTACCGCCTCTGGAAAGCACAGACTTGGTTTTGAAATTGCTCAAGGACCCTACATCAGCTCATGATATTCCAGATGCAGTCAACGATGTTCTATCTTCAACTGAACTACATATGAAGATGTTGAGGGTATATGTACAACGTGTCTTTGGATTACATAAGTCTGGTCGCTTAGTGGTTGGAAATGGAAAAATATTCGGCCCGTTGTCTCCAAAGGAGCAGTTTAATATCGACGACTTTGGTCTGATTGAGAGACTAAATACATTCCAGTACGGCGACAAAATCCGAAAAGTAATACAGCAAAACGGCAATATTGACGGGAGCGGCGATGAACTCCCGATAACTAGTGATACATTACTTAAACTTTACGCAAGCCTGGTGCCCAGGCAATCCAAGACTCGCTTTAAGATACCAGAGGATATTAAGAAAGACAATTCCGTAGTCACATTAGCCCCCAAACAATCATGGTTGCCGCATTTTGATATTTCGGCAGTAATTGATCCAGCTTCTCGAAGTGCCCAGAAGTTGGCACCCATTCTTATTCTATTGAGAAATATTCTCAACTGTGATATGCATATATACTTAACCCCAGTCGGCCAACATAGTGATATGCCGGTAAAGAATTTTTATCGATATGTATTAGAACCAGAGGTACTATTTCAACCTAATGGTAAGTTAGCTGAGGGCCCATTCGCGAAATTCACTGGCTTACCTGTCAATTCGTTGCTTACCCAAAATTTACAGGTGCCTGAAAATTGGCTAGTAGAAGCTGTTCGTTCCGTATATGACTTAGATAACATTAAATTGAGTGAAATCGGTGGACCTGTCCATAGCGAATATGAATTAGAGTACTTATTATTAGAGGGTCATTGCTTCGATTCAGGCTCCGGTGCTCCTCCGCGTGGACTCCAAGTCACACTGGGAACGCAAAAGACACCTGCCATTGTTGACACCATAGTTATGGCAAATCTTGGCTATTTTCAACTCAAAGCAAATCCTGGTGTTTGGGAACTGCGCCTTCGACAAGGAAAGTCTACGGACATTTACGATATTACCCATGCTGACGGAACAAATACCATTCATCAAAATCACCTAACAAAAGTCGTAATTAGTTCTTTGAGGTCACATGTGATAAAAATGCGAGTGACGAAGAAACCCGGAAAACAAAATGCCGATTTACTAGGTGATGACGAACACGAGACGAATTCTGGAATATGGAGCTCCATTGCTAATTCATTTGGTGCTGGCACTACCGCCTCAGCATCTGGTGAAAATAACTCGGGCGACTCGGATATAATAAACATTTTTTCTGTAGCTTCTGGTCATTTATATGAACGACTTATGCGAATTATGATGATATCAGTTTTAAAGCACACAAATTCGCCAGTAAAATTTTGGTTTCTAAAAAATTACCTATCACCTCAGTTTACAGATTTTCTTCCACATATGGCGAGGGAATATGGTTTTCAATATGAGCTGGTGCAGTATAAATGGCCGCGCTGGTTGCATCAACAAACAGAAAAGCAGCGTACGATTTGGGGTTATAAAATTCTGTTTCTGGATGTTCTTTTCCCACTAAACG